TGTTTACCTATGAGAACGTTGGTTAATAAAGAAAGCAAAATATATATATATGATAATGCCCTTGATGGCGGGGCATGGGGCTTAAGAGGTTAAGAGCATTTTAAGGTACTGTTTTATATAATAAAAAATGTCTTCTTTTGATTGTCTATTTTTCTCCCACACACTGATCAGTGAGAAATTAGTTTTAACAATGTGTTTTGAATTTAAATGATGTTTCAGACTCAAACTCCTCTGGTATGATGGTTCAGTGTAGCTTGAAATAGTGGAGAAACAAATGTTTCTGCCCTGTACTACACTGTTTTACCTGTTGAAGCACTGCACCAGATTTAACAGATGATAATTCCTTCACCCTTTTAATCAGACTCATACAAAAGTGTGAGATCTGAAGATGAGCAGAGAACTCTTTCCATATGCAAGAATATTCAAAATAAAGAACCAGCTTTGTTTTTATGATTTGAATTTATTACAAAAATATAGAAAAATTGATTTCATTGGTGGCTCAGTTGGTAGAGCTGATGTCTCGCAGCAAGGTCGCCCGTTCAAATCCTGGCCCGGGGACCTTTCTGGGTAGAGTTTGCATGTTCTCTCTGTGCATGTGTGGGTTCTCTACTCCAGCTTCCTCCCACAGACCAAAAACATGACTGTTAGGTTAATTGATAACTTTAAATTGTCCCTAGGTGTGAGTGAGAGAGTGAATGGTTGTTTGTCTCGTTTGTCTCTTTGTGTGTCCCTGTGATGGACTTGCGACCTGTCCAGGGTGTAACCCTCCCCTCGCACTGTGACTCCTGGATATGGGCACCAGTGACCCATGTGACCCTGAAAGGAAGAAGCGTGTGCAGAAAATTACGACGGCGTATTAGGGCCACTTTGCCGATGAAAAAAAAAGGAGCAAATCTCTAAGAAAAAAAAACTCTGAATTTCTGAGATTAATTTCAGAAATTTTCAAGAAAAAAAAGGAAATTCTCTTATTTTGAAAAGTCGCAAATTTGCGAGAAAAAAAACTCAGAAATTTTCGTAATTAAAGGCAGAAATTTGCGACATTTAAACTAGATATTTTCTGACATGGTAAGGTCAGAAATTTACAAGAAAATATATCCGGACCAAAAGTGGACTTTATTGTTTTCATTTGGTGCGGTTTGCATTCACATTGTGCTTTTTTGCAAATGAACTCTAACTTGTAAACAAAGCCATCAGGCTGACAATCATTGCTCCCATTGGACAAAAAAGGACGGGGGCGGGACCGAGCCACAGACCCAGAAGAAAACAAGGAAGTCCTGCATGCTACGGTTCTGATGCGCACATTTATGCTGATAGTACAACTGCAATAACATTTAAAATGTCAGAAGAAGCTGATTTAATGGTGGTTTCACGATGAAATTCTAATTTTGGAGCGACGTCAGTAAATGTGTCCCGTGACCCAAAGGAGACGAGGTGCTCTGCGTGTTCTGACCCACTACATGCTGCCAGCAGAGCTGCTGAGCAGGAGACGATGAAACAGGTATGATTTCAGTTTATTTAACTTAGCAACGGTGGCCCATGAGGTCCAAAAAGGTGCATGTTTAATGCAGTTGGTTTGGTTAGAGCAGGGGTGGGCAATCCTGGTCCTCGAGGGCCGCAGCCCTGCATGTTTTATTTTTTCTCTGCTCAAACACACCTGATTTGAATGAATGGGTGATTATCAGGCTTCTGTAGTAAAGAGGACCGAAACTGACAGAATTAAAAACAAAAGCGGAAATGCATAAATTGACTAATAAATAAATAAATAAATAACTACTTAAAGTGCACCAATATAATTCAAAAAGGAGAATTTCATTTAAAGTATATATGCATATAAAACATATACATATAC